TTATTATTTATTTTCACGCGCCTGCTTGGCAACAAATTCAAAAACTCAGCTAGGCAGTTCTTTTTATATATAAATATAATATATATATATATATATAATGGCTGGGATGGCTTACACATATCAATTAAACAAAAATTTCAATACAAATAAAAGTAAAGCATAAATAATAATTTCAAATACTTCTTTACCACGAATATCAATTATAAATTTAAAGCTGAATTTTTTAGCGTTGTTATTTTTAAAAAAAAAAAACAAATCTTACACACGATAAACTATAATTCTGAAACAAAGTATTAAAATTCAATAAAAATCTTTTTTTTTTTAAAGAAAAAAAAGTTAAACTTATCTTCAGAAATCACAGTTTCCTATATTTTGACAGTTTTTTGCTCGGACGCAGTTACAGATAACAGAAGATAATCTTTGAATGATGATCCCTTCAAATTCTGGCTTTAAAAAAAACCGCAGACTTCTTACATCCATTTATCCTTGAAATAAACAACTTGGCAATTGGTATTAGCAAACTTATTGTAAAAAATTTCAGTAAATTTCTGGGATTAGGAGACCAGCACCATCGAAATTGATAATGCACTCTTAATTTCCAGTATCTCGGTGAACCTCCAAATTTATTAAGACTGAATGTATTTTGCAGTAATTTACAAAACAGACAATCTTCTTAGTTAGACATAAATTTATTTCTATTCTCGGTGATAGACAAATTTATACAATCTTATTGGCAAATTTTAATACTACTCCTAGCTGGCAAAATCTTCAGAATACTGATCTTTTTTTTAACAATATCTCTCGTTGCTGAGTAAACGGTTGATACAAATATGGCATTGCCACTTCAACATAATTATAATTATTTATTAAATAACAAGATATTACAATACCATCATCCGAAATTCCAATTAAATAGATCTCCAATGATACTGAACTTATGAAAGCTGAATTTACTTTCTTTGCCAAGGAAGGCTGTTTTTCTCACTGAAAATTTTTTATTTGTGAAAACTGCAAAATAATTAAAGTTTCGGTTATTATTGCTGGTCTTTTCGTAGTCTGAATGCCTTAATCACTCAATACAAGCCTAAACTGAAACCATGGATTCCCAGATAAAGATTCAAGAGATGTTAAGTACTGCAGGTTTTGTCAAACAGCCTGTATAAGTATTGACGTTAAGTAACTGCATTATATCACCGAGTGATTTAGAAAATTGTTTGTGTAATAGCTGTTGTATTTGCAAAAAAATAATTACATTTTAATAGACATAAGATTGAAAAGAAAAACTATAAATTTAGTCAAAACTGAAGATTAAACTGGACAGTTTTACAAGGAAGCTCAGTAGAAGAAGGTTACGAGCATCAGATCGTCCATACGAGCATCAGATTTGTGTTAATGTGGTGCGGTAGGTGAGCTGTCCGCCGATAACATCGCGGCAAAAACATCGCAGACGAAAACGTCGCGGAGAAAACAATGCAAGGAGAAAACGTAGTGCTACAAAACATCGTGGGAGAAACAATCGCAAAGAAAAACATCGCGTTCTAAAACATCGTGGTACAACCTCGTCGTCGAAAATAAAGCGGTTTAAAAAACTTTGCAGTTTAAAAACATCGTCGTTGAAATATCGTGTAAAAAAAAGTGTCTACAATCATCGCATGACATAACATCGCAGACTTCTTTTTTCAGTTTTAATTGTAAATGGATATTCCCATAATGTTTGTGAGCGCAAGATGTAAAGAAGATATTTTTACTTCACATTTTTTAAATAACTAATAAATTTTTGCTGAAAAAGTAAGAAGAAAACTTAAGCATAGAAATTAAATGCCACTTATAGCTTATACTTTTCATGAAAATTACAGTAAAACTTACAAATTTTTATTAATGGCCTTTGTTTTAACTATGTCGGTTTAAAATTCCATTAAGTGCTATAAGTTGCATTAATTTTCTATGCTTAAGTTTCCTTCTTATTTTTCCCAGCAAAAATTTATTAGTTAATAAAAAAAAATGAAAGTAAAATTATCCTTCTTTCCATCTTGCGCTCACAAATCATTTGGGAATATCCATTTCAGTTATAAAAGATGTCTGCGAAAAGCATGTCTGAAAAACATATCTGCGATGTTATCGTCATGCGACGATTTGTAGATACTTTATTTTTTACCACGATATTTTCGACGAGATGTTTTAAAACTGCGAAAGTTTGTAACCGCTTTATTTTGACGACGATGTTTTGTACCACGATGTTTTAGGACTGCGATTTTCCCCCACGATGTTTGTAGCCGACGTTTTCGCCTTGGTTGTTTTCTCCGCGCGTTTCATCCGCGATATTTTTGCCGCGATGTTTTCGGCTGTAACCGGTAGGTGATGCAGATCACTTCCTCCTCAACTGCCCACAAAACCGATAAACTGCATTTAAAAATGCCAAGCAGTGAATACTGGCCGCAATGGGCAGGAGAATACCCGCGCAACAAGCAGCCGAAAACTAAAATAGAGGAGGTCATCAGGCTTTGCTCAGCAAGATACTAAGAAATTCTCCCCCTCTCTTGAGAATTGTATCTTCGCAGCATAATTTTAATAGCAATTCAAAATGCTACAACAACTGAATATCGACACTAGGAAAATAGCTCACCCCGTACGAATAATAAACAGGACTGTAAGAGCAAAACTATTGTAATGTAAGCATATTACTATCCAGTTTGTATGTACTTGATAAAAATAATATTGTAAAGCAGTTTAAATGATATTGAAAATCCAGTCAATGTGTAAATGAATTACAAGTTTAATTTGATTATCTCAGTAAAGGTATTGTAAATATGAATTCATATAATGTTTAAATGTACACACAGCTGTCATGATTTTATGTGTCTATCATATGCAACTTGTACAAGACAATGATTGTAATCAACATATCTATGCTTATACACAGGCCTTGTATGCCCATGTAATATTTATATGTATATTTTTACACGGAGGAAAATTTCCCTTCTGCCAGGATGACTATTAACACTGTAAGACTTTTACAACAAAGTCAGGTCAGTGGTTATCTCAAGCGGCGCTCAGTAGAAGAAGGTAGAATAACTTTAGTGTAACATTTACTGTGTTGTTTTTGAAATGTGACGAGATTAAAAAAAAACTATTATTAACCTTTGTATTAACAAGAGAGTTATAAGGATACAAGGGTTAGAGGTGATTCTCTCTTGTATCTTTCTCATGATAAACTCTCGCTCTACAATTATAACCTACAATTCCACTGCCTTACAGTCTTTTAACATATCAAACCAATTAAAGTTATAATTTTTTGACTAAATCTAGCCAAATACAAGGTTGTTTCTTTGCTAATTTTTAAGTTTCACTTTGACTTGTATCTCTTCTTATTTAAATAAAAACCTGTCATCGTGATATGATACTTGTTTACAAAAACTATAGGCAACTGAGTATTAAAACGTCGAAATCACCATTGCAGTCTTTCATCACTGTAGGTTTCCTTTAAAAAAAATAAAACGCAGATAGAATTTTAACAGAAGCTTTCGACAGAACTTTCAACAGAAGAAAAGTTCGACTTTGCATTTCAGTGCGTTTTTGAAATTTTAAGTCCCAGATAAGATAATATTTCTCGTTACAGTTATCATTTTTATTCATTGGAATAAATATAAAGTTTAAAAATCTGATGTGTACAACACATGACTTCCTCGTATTAAAATATTAAATTATACGCATTTTTTCTTGTATTTCATTTAAACTTATTGGATTGAATTAAATCTACTTCGCCAACAGCGCATAAACCACAATAGAATAAATGCATTCTTTAAAATTCACTCTAGTATTTGTTTACCATAGCGACACTCTCGGGATTCCTTAACATATTATTTTATTATATTCGTTCATATTATAACTCATAATGCAGAAAATGTATATCATTTAAAGAATAGAATTATCTAATCGATGCCACATGTTCTATTCAAATACTATAATAAAGCTAGAACAATGTATAAAAAGAAATTAAGCAAACAAAACAAAAAAAAACAGTTTTCTCACAGACGATTGAGTATTTCTCATTCAATTAATTCAGTTCTCACTTTGCAACAAGGCAAAAATACATAAAAACTTGAAATATATATATTAAAAACTCCGAAGTAAATCTTAAACACTTATTTCCTCAAATAATTTCAGAATGGATGAAGCACGATTTAATTCGCAATAATTAAAGAAGGCATTTGTTGCAAGCTAAATCTACATTAGCAACAAATCCATATTCTGCTAAGTTTCAAATGTAAACAATATGACTGCTGTGGTAAAAAAATTAGGCCTAGGCACAGTTAAACAACTTTTTGTTATTAATTGCTAAAAATTTGATAATGTTAACTAAAGGCATAAACCCTTAACCGGAAGATAAAAACAACATAGTTCAATCATTTTTAAAGCAAAAAATGAACAATTTACAAACATATAACAGTACAGAAACTGAGATCACTGAGCCAGGTAACAGAGTGGATATACACATATATTTATATACTTTTGGTGCAAACAATTGCAACCAAAATACGAGGTTCACATCTACATGTAATAGCAGTCCTATATACACATTTTTCAACGTTCTGAGGCTACTCCTTTTGAGTTATGCGAATACGTACTACGTACATACGTTCGTAAGACGCCACGAAAAAATCTTTTCAGAATTAATTTTAAAAGCATTTTATAATTTTTTTTGAAGGAAAAATTCTTTTATTTTCTGTCCTTACGTACAGAAATCACGCAAAAACATCGTTAAATTGTATTCGATAGCTTTCAAGATGGATATTTTCGTTGAAATATGCTGCCTGAAACTTTTCGTGATTACAATACTTCGTTTTTACTTCGTAAAAGGAAGTAAAAATAGCTGCGCTCCGCTAATATTTTTATATAATATTCAGCATTAGAAATCGAGTCTTTTAAAATTCAACTTTTTTAAATTATATATCTGAATTATCAAAATAAATCTGTTTAAAAAAATGACATATTTTTTGTACCTTCAATATCTCGAAGTCTTCTTTTATAGGAGGCTGAACTTTGCAAAAGTCACTTTCCTTAGCGTCTATAACAAGAAATAGCCCAACAAAGAAAACTACATACATTGCTACCGAAGCCATTATATGAATGCAGTTGATTGCTACATTAACAAAGTGATGTCGGAAATAAAATGGTTAAAAAAGTTGATCTAAGAATCGTTTAAATATAATCTTTTAGTCACAAACAGCTGCCTGAGTCTCATATTATTTCTCTTTTCGAAATGTTATCGATATGAAACTGAAACTAGCGTGCCATTAAATTGTACGATAATTTGTGGAAAAATACTGAAGCATTCAATTTCGCGCTTTGCGTTTTCAGCGGGCCTACACCATCTGCTTGATATTATCTAAAAATAATACAATATCAACACATTTATTTAAAGAATTCTCTCTCCAAAATCTTATCATATTTACCATGATTCTGTTTTGAATATTTAAAATTCTTACTGTACCAAATGGAGTTCTAAAAGGTGTTTAACCTCCAATTTTTCTCATACGGCATACACAACAGTATCATTTGCTGAAGCGACTAAAATTTCAAACACTTAGCAATCTTGCAAAAAGATTACTAAGTCTTTGCGAAGACACGAATATATCAGCAATTTTTTCAGTGACTCATAAAGATAGTTTTCGTGGTCCCATGACTAGAGTTAAAAAGAGAACAGAAACGTAATGATGAAGTAGGCAGAATAATTATAATGTATAATAGCAACAACAAAATTCTTATCTTGAAAAGATAAGAATCTATAAAAATTCTTATATTAGAAAAGGCGAATGCGGACAAGTGAACTGATCAATGTTCACAGAGAGCGTTAAGTTTTGCCAAACTTTTATTTTTCTCATATTCGCTATACTATTTGCATTTGGGATGCAAAATGATGAAAATGTCCGGAAGATAAGTATTTCTGGATACCTGCATCTGTAAAAACTGTTACTGCTTGAAGTCGTAAATGAGGTTCCAAATGTTTGGTTAATTGTTTGCTCTTCTGACATATTTATTCACAAAGTTTACACGAACTATTAACACAAAAAATACTAACTCAGTATTTGAAAAGACTGGAAAATGTAAAATGTTAATTTAATTACTTTTTGTTTTGAAGCTGTGGATGGCAACGGTTTGTAAAGCAATGATTTGTAAAAGAAATCCTGAAATTTTAAAACTTTTATTTTTTAAAACAGTTAACATGTTATAGTTATGTACTTAAAACTGTTAATTTTAAGATTCGAGTAATGCAGTCAGTAGTCAGTAGGATGTTATAAGCCTTATTATTATGATTTGCATTCTACCGACTGTTTTGATGTTATTTTCAAGATATTATGAGAGGAAAGTGCTTTAAGGCATGAGTTAACTATTTTAATTATTATTAATATTAACGTAATCGATCGTAACTTACAGCGTTAGTCGCGACATCAGCATCTGGTTAATATGATTCAGAAAGGAGAAGAGAAAAATTACTGCAAAAAAAAGAAGGGTGAAGAGAATATTTTTTTTTTCCCAATGGCTAGGCAAAAAAGTTACAAAGAATTAAAATCTTTTAAACAGAGGTTACAATCAATAGACCTAAGCACAAAAAGACCAAAGTCATTGCCTAAGGAGCTTTGCTGCCTTCCAGGATCTCGGCTCTTGTAAAGCCACGAAGAGCCGCATATCGACAATGAAGCATGTGGCCCTTGTCCATTTCTTCTCCAGAACTACAAAGTGGGAAAATAGAAACGCTTGAAATGTCTGTGCGATGCAATAGAAGTAGTAGTATAAAGAAGCGTAGAAGCAGTAGTAAAAATGTAGCCCACCAGCGGCCGAGCTGTAAAGTCGCTGAACACTGGTAGTTCCTACTTGGGTTCAATTCCAGGGGGACGGACTGGTTATATAGGCATTTTCGAGATTTTTACTATGTAAAACGTGTATACAAGCCAGTTTCCCTTAGAAAGTCCTCCACGAAGGCATCCCTCCCCTTAGGCAGATAGCCCTCGAGGCTTTACCATAATCACACGCACGCACAGTAGTAAAAATGTAGTGGCCAGAATGAGCACTCGGAGGATAAATGTTTACGTTTAAAAATAAAGTTTCCTTAAAGAAAAGAGCAATAAAAAGCAATCTGAGACAAATAATTCAACAGTAAAATCATTTTAGTTCTCTACGTGCGCTAAGTTAACATCAATAATAAAACTTCCAATGACTTATCATTGAGGATTGAAAAGAAGAGTAGAGTTGAACGTTGGACAGGGCACAAGTGCGTTGATTGGTTATTTGAATTTAAAGCATTATTCTATTCGTTAGAGAATCAGAGTTTTCAGCTCTATTAGAACATAATATACAGTGCTACTATAGCATACATTGTGTGAAAACTTATTCTAGGTACTTCTAATTTTTTTTTTTTTTTTGATAAATCCTAATTCTAACAGTAGCATGCCCGAGTCCAAACTAAGAGTGATCCGGTACATTTGCTATACAAATAAATCAAACTTTTAGGAAAAACCTTTTTTAATGTCGGAACTTTATTTTAAAAATAAGCCATAAAAATTGATTCTATATTCTAAATGCATGGCTGTCTGTCCAGGGAAACAAAGTTTCTGGTGGAGGTTGAGATTGTCAAAAAAAGAAAAGCTCCCACCCACGTGTCAAAGGCAATGCTCCTGGAAGTGCAATGGATTTATGAGAGCGGTTACATTTTTAGTTTCTGAAACTGCTGGAAATGATTCACTATGCACATTTACACACAAGAGATACCCTTACACCTGCAGACCTTTTGGAACGGTGTGATCAAATACGTGAGAGGCAAATTCGATGGAAGTTTTTTCTCCTGTCGTATTCTGCTTGATAGATTGAATTAAGTTGGCAGGTAAATCTTGGTCAAAAAGTGAACTCTTCTCTCTTTGTTTCCATGCCTACACATTTCTGTTCAAATTCTCTTCCATACTTTCATACAGTTTTTAGCATTCTCTGTATTCTTACCAGTGACTCTTTAACGGTTTTACTTTAGTTCCTGGTGTGCTGTAAAAATAATAGTCGTCGTTTAAATCATCCCTTGAAACAGTATATTATATTCAAGGCTTCATCCAGAACTCGCTGATCTGTTTCTTCGTACGGATTTTGGTAGGGCTTCCGCAAGTCTAGTTTTCGAAATTGCGTCTTGAGGGCTATACGTCACGAAACGAAAGTATGAAAGGCGAAAGAGGAAGTATATGATTCTAGTATGAAATAATTCGAGGAATGTTTGTCTTTACGAATACAAAAATTCATCATACATCAATATCATATACAAGTTCATTAAAACGACAAGCAGGCATGTCACATTTCTTCCACGAATTTTTCAACAATCAGCACGTAATACATATTAAGAAATTTCATTTATCATTCAGTTTGCATTCTACATATGATATCTAATCATTTTGAAATTCTAACAGTACAATTTAAAGCAAAAAAAAGGGTACTTTTTTTGCATTTCAATTTTTTATTTAAATTCAGATATTTTATATTATGCGAAGTACTCTAGCTTTGAAATATAAACATTAATTTTCTTTTTCGGTTTTCAAACTTCGATTCGCATTCACGCGAACAACAGCTGCGGGAAATAGTTCGAGTCGCTTGATTCTTTTCACCCCGCATCATTTCCGTCTAGAGTCTTTCGGGCCAGTTTATCGGCGAACTTGTATGCAAAGGCCAAGCCCATGCTTCGTAAAAAACTGTACGTAGTTTGGTAAAAATATCTGCAGAAAATCTTGGTAAAATATCTGCACAGAACGCAATCCGTACGACCCTATATTCCTGCTGAAGTAATTTCAGAACAGCAGCAGAGAAATGTCGTTAATAACATTGTATGGATGGAAGAGTGTGCAAGACAGAAGTCTTCTGTTGTCATTTGTCCTTTACAATGCTTTTCTTTGCAAATAATAGCACGACCGGAAAGTAATGTCGTTTCTGCGCATGTCGACAACAACATGCTAAGGGCAGAAGTGAAAGCAAATCCATGTCAAACACTCTTAACCAATCTTGGTCGACCATCCAAGAGCATTTAAAGCAGAATGGAAAAATAAGCAAAGCAGGTGTTTGAGTCCCCCATAATCTGTCCGAAAAGAACAAAGCCAACCTATCGATCACATGCAACGTATTGCTTCAACGGCACCATACAGAACCGGTTTTTGATCGTTTGATTAATGGAGACAAAAAGATAAGTCCTATGTGATAATCCAAAACTCAAAAGGCAGTTTTAATAGGGGTTACAAAGGGTTTACATGCCGAAAAGGCGCTTCTGGGTGTTTGATGGAGTATTGGCGGAATCTTTCATTTTGAATGGCTGAAACCTGGACAAACTGTTAATGCAGACCTTTATTGTGAACAATTGAATGGAGTGAAGCAATCTTTACTCGAAAAATATCAATTGTCAACATAAAAGGCGTCATTCTGCAACAGGACAATGCAAGACCTCACTGTTCAAGACGAACACTGGAAAAAATGAATGAATTGGGGTGGGAGGTACTACTATACTCACCCACCATACTCGGCCGATATCCCAGCATTGGATTTCCATTTATTCGGATCCCTACAACATTTTCTTAGTGGTAAAAAATTTGAAAATTTGGATGATGTCCAAAATGTCCTCTCGAGATATTTTACTCAAAAACCGATTGATTTTGATCGGTCCGGGATTGAAAATCTGCACATTAGATGGCAAAAGGTTGTTGATTACGAGGGTGATTATATTATTGATTAGAAATAAAAACTTGTTAAAAATATATTCGTTTGAATTTAATGTAAGAAAACGACATTACTTTCCGGTCCCCCTATTACTTTACGCCAGCAATTTTCATCACACGCGTATCTTTCACACATCATTTATGGTTTTCCAATGGGCTGATCAGTTTGCGAGTAAAACGGTAGGTGTTGCTAATGACCACCTGTATACATAATATACTTTCATGTGTGTGCATATTTATATAATGCATATGATCATATATTTTTGTGCTGCCATAGAAACGATGCCAATCCATATCAACAAAAACACGTATGTCCAAGGTAATGTGAGGGATTGAAACCATCAAAATATACATAAATATAATTACATACGTTGATTGAATTGATTATTTAATTAGTTTCATAGCAGAGTCCGC